TGTGGAGTTCAGCCACTATGTGAGCTTTGCATAATGAGGATGGAGCCCTAATGCTGGAGACCTGTAGTTTTCAGAAGTTCTCAGAGGAGGCTACACTCCAGAGGGGGCTCTGTTATCAAGATGGGATTGTGCTGCCGCAGCTTGGCCCAAGTGGGTGGGTGGGATGTGGACAGTGCACCCCTTGTGCCCCAAATGCAGAGCAGTACACCTGTGTGAATTCCCAGCAGCTCTCCGAACTGGGCTCAGGACTTTAAAAGACTGTGGGAGTCTCCTGTTATAAAGACAGTATATGTTTGCAGTCGCGAGATGACTGATAGGGAACTCGCGAGATGACTGATAGGGAGCTTTTTATATTTTCCCTGCAACGGGAAGACCCCTCTGGCTCCAGACGGATCTGATCTGGGTGGTGGGAGACAGGGCTGCAGAATCCAGATGCCTCCTGAACTTCTAATCACCACAGGTTCATCTCCTCTCCTCCATGCACTCCAGCACTCTTCCTTTGACACTCAACCTCCAGCACTCTTCCTTTGACACTCAACCAAATCTTAATTGTTACCTTAACCCTTTCTTCTGGTAGGGATGAGCACCATGAGTCTCTAGTTAGCCATCTTGCTGACTGCCAAATTTTCTATTTCTTTATAGTTAAATCTTGATAGCTTATATGGGTCTAGGAATTTATCAGTTTCTTCTAGGTTATCTAATGTTCGTATATAGTTGTTCATGAGTCTCTTATGATCTCTGTATTTCTGTGGGATAAGCTGTAATGTCTCCTTTTTCATCTCTGATTTTACTTATTTGAGTCTTCTTTCTTTCGTTTTACTTAGTCTAGCTAAAAGTTTGGTGATTTTGTTTGTCATTTCCAAAAACCAACTCTTGGTCTTATTGATCTTTTGTATTGTATTTCCAGTCTCCATTTTAATTATTTCTACTGTATTCTTATTATTTCTTTTCTTCTAGTGTTGTAAAAAAAAGATTAGTTTTCTCTTTTGCTTTTCTTATTCCTTGTGGTGCCACATTAGGTTGTTTATTTGAGATTTTTTTTTTCTTTTTTGTGTAGGCACTTTCTGCTCTAACTTTCTGTTTTAGAACTATTTTTGCTATATCTCATAGACTTTGATACATTGTTTTTAGCTTGTCTCGAAGAAATTTTTATTTCCTTTTTAATTTCTTCTTTGACCAGTTGGTTGTTCAGGAGCATGTAGTTTAAATTCCATGTATTTGTGTATTTTCTGAAATTCCTTCTTTTATTGATTTCTATTTTGATAGTGTAGTCAGAAAAGATACTTGATATAGTATCAGTCTTTATTAGTATGTTAAGACTTGTTTTGTGGCCTAACTTATAATAATCTATTTTGGAGAATATTTCATGTGCGGTTGAGAAGAATATGTATTCTGCAGTTGTTTAATAAACTTTTCTGTATATGCTCTTAAAGTTTATTTGGTCTGGAGTATAGCTTATGTCAAATAACCTGTATTCAAGCTCACAGATTGTTCCTTCTGCTTGATTCTTTCTGGTGTTAATGCACTCTGTTGCACTTTTCATTTTATTCATTGTATTTTTTTGGCTCCCGTATTAACATTAGGTATTTTGTTATCATTTTTACCCTTTGTTACATCTCTCTTTCTGGTCACTTACTTTTTTCATCATTTCATTTCATTATTTATCTGTATTTTATTGAAGTTCTTCGAGCTTCCTTAGAATAGCCATTTTAAATTCTTTGTCAGGCAAGTCATATATCTCCATGTCTTTGGGGCCAATCAATGGTATCTTATTTTGTTCATGTGGTACTTTATTTTGTTCTTTTGATGTCACCAGTTTTCCCCAATTGTTCTTGATCCTTGTGATTGTGCATTGATGCCTGCACATTGAAGAAGTAGGTACTTATTGACTTGAGGTAGATACTTAAATATAGATATTGAATTGAAGGTAGGTACTTATTCCAGTTTGGCTTTGTCTGAGAATGTCCCTCAATTCTGTCCACAAATTCTAGGCAGATCATCTGTTCCGAGTTTGTAAGCCTGTAACTCTTTCAGTCATTGCTGCACAAGGAGAAGTCATAAACCCAGGACCACCATGGCCAGTTCTGCACCAGTTTGTAAACTTTGGCTACAGAGGCTGGCACAATGATGGACTGTATTCCAAACTCCTCCTCACTGATACCTGCCTATCTCTGATGGTTATTCATAATCCAAGGCTGCTGTAGTTGGCTGCCAGTGATACAAGCAAGAACACAGGTTCACCACACAGAAACTGTGTGTTCCTCTCTGCTGCTGGGGCAGGTCTAGCTGCTTAGGCCACAGATACTCACCCAAACTCAGGGTCTATGGGTATCCTCTCAGTGCTAAATTTTACTATTATAAGACTAGTGTTGGGTTCTATGAAAAAGTTCAAGCCTTCCTTCCTTCCCTTCCTCCCAAAAGAAAGTAGCTCTTTCAGCACTGTGCTGCCTGTGGTTGGGTTAGGGGTAATGCAGGAAACAAAATTGTCTTTTATGTCCTCTTCAATGTGTATTTTAAATTATGATGCTATAATCAGTTCTGTAATATCTCACCTGGCCTCCTTAGCTTTTGAGAAAATATTATCATGTGTGAATGATTATTAAATTTGATTTTTGTAATGTTTATAATTTGATGGGTATAATCTCTGGGGAATCCTACTCTACCAGGTTTTTCTACTTATTCTCTAAAAACAACTATATTAGAATCTTTTCTAAGTTGTAAAGTGATTTCCCATAGAATTGAGCAAAATACATTTTAATCATCCTGTTTTCTTCTTTTCCTGTGAGTATAAAACACTCTGATTTTTGTGCCAATTTTGTGCATTTTAATATTTTTGCATATTTTTCATTTTTCCAACAGGACAAATCATTTGGTCACTTAATCTTTTCCCCTCATAATGCCACATCTAAGATGTATGCATCACCATACCATTTTTATGCTTTCCAAATCACTGATTCCTGATTTCAACTTTATCAATACATTCCTTTACTATTTGGAAATACTTTTTTCCCACATTTCATTGAATTCAATTTTAATATAAATATAATAATCACGTTATGCTGGATTGCATTTTCCTGGTTTGTTTTTTTTTCAAATATTGTGACCCCCTTTTTTTATCTGTATCTTTTGGACACTAGATAAGATGAAAGTTTGGTTCTTAATCCATAAGTAAGACTGACATTTCAGACTCTATTTTCTATCAGTAAGCTTGGAACAGAACAGTTCCTGGTATTTTGTTTTTCTTTTTTTTTAAATTGTACTTTAAGTTCTGGGGTACATGTGCAGATCTTGCAGGATTGTTGCATAGGTACACGCATGCCATGGTGGTTTGCTGCCTCCATCTGTCTGTCACCTACATCAGGCATTTCTCCCAATGTTATCCTTCCCCAACCTCCACAACTCCCGCTGTCCCTCCCCTAGCCCCCCATCCCCCAACAGACCCCAGTGTGTGATGTTCCCCTCCCTGTGCCCATATGTTCTTATTGTTCAACACCTGCCTATGAGTGAGAACATGCGGTGTTTGGTTTTCTGTTTTGTTTACTGAGAATGATGGTTTCTAGATTTGGAAGCATGAGAAAGATTACAATGGTTAGCAGACACTAATACCTTTGACAAAATGCCATTGACATTTTCTTGCCAGGGTAATCAATTTTAGTTCAGGACAACATCACCCTACTCTGTTGAGTTTCTGCAACAAGGAACTACTTACTGCCTTTGAGGCAGATAAATTTGGTAAGATCTCAGAGTGACTCATGGAGAAACCATGCAGCTCACAAGATTTATGTCTGATAGCAAAGCACTGTTTTCTGTGGTTGGCCTTTCCCTTTCCCCCTTCCATAGAGCATTGCCTACAGGAAGGTTAAGATTTTAATATAGAATAATTGAAAATAAATTTTCAAGCAATCATTTCCCCAAAACTACCCTCCAAGGTGTTCCGAATGTGCACAGGGACATTGTTGGGATGCTTTCTTCTTCTCCTGTGGTCTGCTCATAACAAAGTCTTTATGACTCCAAGTAAAGAAAGTTTATTTGGACTCTTCAGGATGTCATCACAACTGGAAAAATCTATGCTTCTACCAATGGTGGGAATTTTAGCTTCATGTCCATTCACAATACGTTATTTAATTCACTGATGGTGGCAAATATTTCTCACAGCCTGTTGGGGGATATAGCTGTTTACTACTGAAGTAGAAATTTTTTTTAATTAAAACAAATATATTCTGCTGTTTACATAGATTTCATGAAGAGATCCTAATTTAGAAACCAGCATTTTTACTCTTTTTCTAACAGTTGTTCCTATTACCATGAAAACATCTTACAATTCTCTCATCCTTTGAAAACATACCTGGAGCTTACAGCCTCAGCTCTCATTCCACCATGAATTCAGACTTCCTGAGAAGGTTACAGCTGGTCTCTATCCTTCAACTGAAAACCCAACACAATTGTATTTCTCTCTCATTAATGTTACTAACAACAACTAAGAAAAACTTTGGACACACGTCAGTCTTTATTGTGATGAACTGACAGACATATTTGACATTGGTATGCCCCAGTTACTTGTTTAAAATTTCCTTCTTTGGATTCCATAAGGTTTCATTATATTCAATGTCATCCACCATCTATGATTGCTCATTCTTAGGTAAAATAGAATGTGTCTCAAGATCATTTTTAAAACAAAAAAAGTATGAAGTTCTATCTAAAATAGAGTATTTAAATTATTATACCATAAAGAGAAACTCACATTTAGAATATAAAGGCGTTCTCAGAAACCAATTACTTTGTAACCTAAAGTTAGTCTCTTTCCTCCTTTTGTCTATACTTCCATAAAATACAAATGATCTGGCATGATAATCTACAAGGACTCATAAAAATTTGCTGTGGCTTCCAGAAGAAAGAAAATGACTTTGACATTATGTGGCTGGGGACATTGACTATCTCATACTCAGCAGGGGTGAGGAAGTTTCCATTTACTGATAAGCTAAGAAAAGGCAATGTTTTTCGTAATTTAAGCTCCACCCATGGCACATGCACTCAAGAAAAATATAAATGACAAGGTCCACTCAGCTCTCAGACAAGGTTTTCCAAGCAAGATGAAGCCCATCATCTTCTTCGTACTTTCCTTGCTCCTCATCCTGGAGAAGCAAGCAGCTGTGATGGGACAAAAAGGTGAGTGGAGAGGGTAAGCCTTGGGGAAAGTTGCTCAGGCAGAATGGCCTCTAAGGGTATTCAGGGTGCAAACAGTAACCTGTTCAGGCACAGATTCTTCTCGTTGAAGAGAATTGATTTTCTCCATCCAAAGCTTCAGCCTTTCTAGAAACATCAGTAGTTTGTTGGGAAAGGGTGGGAGGTAGGCATTGCAAGGGAGCTTTGGAGATAAGGAATGCATACATTTCTATTACCAATTACCAGGTGGATCAAAAGGCCAATTACCAGGTGAATCTCCCCAATTTCCACACGGACAAAATGGCCTGCAGTATTCTGCACAAAAAGGCAAACAGCATGCTGAATCCAAAGGCAGTGTTTCTACTGAACACATGTTTCATGTAGATGTCCACGATCATGACCAGACCCGAAGAAGTAAGCAATATGACTTGAATGCCCAAAATAAAAAGACAAAATCAGAAAAACATCCAGGTGGACATCAAGAACTATTCAATCATAAGCAAGAAGGCAGAGAGCATGGGAAATCAAAAGGTGATTTTCACGTGGTAGTTATACACCATAAAGGAGGCCACGCTTCTCATGGGACACAAAATCCTTCTCAAGATCGGGGAAGTAGCACATCTGGAAAGGGAAAATACAGTCAAGATTCAAACACAAAAGAAAGCCTACTGGCTACTGGACAAGGTAAAGAACAAGATTTCGTCTCTGGTGTACAAAGAAATAGAAAACAAGGTGGATCTCAACGCAGTGCTGTTCTCCACACTGAAGATCAAGTACGTAACAAAAAAACTGAGACTCTAAATTATCTTCAAAATAAAGGGAGTTACCCAAATGTGTATGAAATGAAACAGAAACATTCAAGTAAAGTGCAAACCTTACTCTATTCTTCACAAAAAGACAGACTCCAACATGGATCCAATGACGTTTTTTCTATGAATCAAAAGCAGACAAGAAATACCAATCAAGATGAAGAGCATGGCCAGACGGCACATAAGAGGTCCTGCCAACGTTCAAGTACAGAAATAAGACGACTTACTCATGGAGAAACGGTCATAGAGAAAGATGCATCCGAAGGCAGTACTTCTAAGAAAACTGAAAATAAAATACATGACAAGCTTCAAAACCAGGTAACAATTCTTAATCAAGATCAACGGTCTGGCCAAGATGCAAAAGGAAATTATGGCCAATCTGCAGATAAAGAAAAAGACCTACTCAGTCGTGAACAAAAACGCAGACACCAACACGGATCTCATGGGGGATTGGATGTTGTAATCATAGACCACGAAGCTAATAATGATCATCATTCGACACAACGTCGTGGCAACAACCAAAGATCAATATTGACATAGGCTACCACTCAGTAACCAGGTGAAAAGACGGCCCGATATCAAGGTACGATTTTTTTTTTTTTAAGCAAATCAGGGCAATACCTCGCCCAATGTTTAGAACTATTAGGAACTCTCCAGGACTTTTGTGGGATTGATAACCATTGTTCACACCAATAGAAGTGCTGTATTACAAGTGGTAGGAAGATGAGCCTCACCATTCCCAGGTGAGGAGAGGATCTGGTAGTGGCAGACAAGGATGCCTGGCCTGTCATGAGGTCCTAGAATTCCTCTCCTTAGTTGAGTATTTGTCAGTAATATTTTTATACATGCCTACCTGCTAAAGGTTTTTTTTTTTAATAGGTACTGGCTACATATGCATATCTATAAGTTTATGGCATATTCTTGTCAATTCTTATGCTTTAGGTTAGTAAACCTGAATTTCTTTCCTATATAGTATGAAGTATGACATCAGTTACTATTTTCTTTCTGCACACCAATAAATATTCTTGCATCCCTGTTCGGGTTCATCTATGTTCCTTTGGAGACTACAAGCCCAAAGACTGACAGTTCTCCCTCTCAGAATACAGGAAAGAGATGTGTAGAAAGATCCCTGTTCATGTTGTGAAAGAGGAAATGGAAAGGGAGACACAAGGGATGGTGAGGGACCTCATGGGCCAATTGGATGTTTGCAATGTCAGGAGAGGAAAACTGAAGGCCTGAGAGGGGTAATGGTGCTTCCCTGTCTCTCTGCAGTAAGTAACACTGCACTTGAAGAGAGGGCAAGCAGCAGAAACAATGGCCCCAGCTGGCAGCTAGTGGCCTGGCATCCTAGTAATAGGAGGCTGGCAGATTTGGAGCTGAAGGGGACAGGGGGTGCAGCTACCATCCTCACCCTTCACTTCTTACTACCCTAACATCACTGATTCTCTTCTTTCTCTCTAGGTGTCGCTTGACCTCAGTAAATCCTGTGACATTTCTGGGATGCAGACTCCTGTGTAGTTTCAGATTCTTGATCATGCTTCGTTGACTTAGGCTTCCTAAACCCGAAGCCCCTTCAAATTTCCAATAAAGAGATCATTTTCTGCTTCATCTGCTTTTGACTCCTGTGTTCTCTGGATTCATAGTGGCTCAAGGGGTTGAGGGGGCATTTCTAATGTAAATGGTTTTGAAAGAAAACAAAGGGATATTTTTGAAGCATTAGGGAGAATAGTAATCAAAGCCACATTTCTAGTTATATTGATGGAAACCCAACACTAAAAACAGGGTGCTGTTACTCTAGCAGTCACATGCCTACCACCTGAGGCAAACCCTAAAGGCTTTCATGACCCTGGTACTAAGACCCCAGGAACTAAGAATATCCCAGAAAGACAAGAGAAAATGTATTGCAACAGGCCCTGGGAAAGTCCCTGATCTGCTGGTGGCCAGTTCCACAGTAGCACATCCCTTCGCTTACCTTAAGAATGTCCTACTCCTACAGCATCTAAGATGCAATTACACCAAAGGTGATATGTTAAATCTTCACCACTCTGGCAAGGGCAAGTGGGTTAAAATTCGCTGGTGGATGGAAAGCCCAGAGGAGCAGCCAAAGGAGTCTTGAGAGAGGTGGTGCCTTCGTAATGGAAGTTCTGCTACCTATACTGCCTTTTCCCCCTCTATTTTAAAAAAGTTTCTAGAGAAAGCCAAACCTCCAGGAGAAGAGGCCAACATAGGGGAGTAAGAAAATCACTAGCCTAAGAATGAGAGATTTGAATTCTAGTTCCGACTCTGCACATGAGAAACTGATACAGCAATCTACATAGTACATGCTGACTCAATACTGTAGCGGTTGAAAGAAAGAAAGAAGGAAGGAAGGAAGAAAGAAAGAGAGAGAGACAGAAGAAAGAGAGAGAAAGAAAAAAGAAAAAGGAAAGGAAAGAGAAGGAATCTGCTGAATAGATTTTCTCTGCTATGTTTGAACAGAAATACATTAAACAGTTTTCCCTGACATGTGGCTGATTGCATGGGGGAGGGAACATAAACTGACATTCAAAAAAGCCAGAGTCATAAATGCTGTGTGCTGTGGTACAGTTAGTAGGAACTTTGGCTCCTACCACTTGCATAGTCTTGGGTAGCATGATCTCTGATACTGAACTCCTGTTTCTTAATGAAGGGATAATAATAACCATCTCATCAAGAAAAGGAAAGGAAAGGAAAAGAAAGAAAAGGAAATGGAATGAAAGGGGGAGAGAGGGAAGAAAGGAAGAAAGGAAGGAAGGAAGAAAGGAAGGAAGGAAAGCAGGCAGGCAGGCAGGCCTTAAAGACGGTGTCTAATGAGGTCCATTATGTTACAATAAATTTGGTAGGGCCAGACTAGGTCAGATGGGCATGAATGGTTCAGAACAACACAGGCCTACTCAGAGCAGAGATTGGCATTGCTGCCCACCCTCAAAACCATGGATCATATAGGCCCAGGGTGGGGTTAGCCTGGACCCCACCTACCAACAACCAAGGAGCCATATGGGTATTTAAGAGTCATTGGCGTCTTCCAGGGGAAGTGAATCATTCCCTAAGCTAGCCAACGGCTTGCACGTCAGTGGGTCAGCTTCATCAAAAGAGCCAAAAGAATAGGTGTAGCTATGTTTGTCCATCACCACAGCTAGGCAGTGGGGTGTGTATTACGAAGTCATAAAATCTACCATGTATGTCATTGCTAAGAATTAGTATAGATCAGCCGAGAAATATGTATGTGGCTGTGGGCCTACAGGTACCCATCTCCACTTCTCACACACATGTAGCACACAATATACAGTCGAATGGCCCCTGTGCTACAACAGCTTGGTGAAGAGGAAATTGTAGAGAACTAGCAATTGCTTATCATAAATTCTTCTTTTAGTTCTACTTCTTTGGCTGTATGACTCCAGCAAACAATTTATTGTTGTTTTGTTTGCCTTGTATGTACAATAAAAGTACTGTTTCCAGATGGAAGAGAAAGAAAGAAGGAAGGAAGGAAAGAAAGAAAGATAGAAAAAGGGAAGGAGAAGAAAGAAGAAAGAAAGAAAAGAAAGAAAGAAGAAAGGAAGGAAGGAAGAAAAGAAAGAAAGAAAGAGAGAGAGAAAGATCTTCTCTATCAGGTTTTAATGTCCTAATGTTGCCTGTAGCTTTGTGATTAGAGACTTTGTCATAGTGGCATGAGAACTCTGTCTCTCCTCACTGCCACCTTCCCAAGAGCATAGAGACCTTGTATTCAGCCACCTGCTTTATTTTCCAATCTCAGCAGTTAGAGAGGAGAGGTTAGGATGGGCTTAGGAGCCTAGCATCAGGAAAGCTGGAATTACCAGCTACATCTGCTGAACAGATTCTCTCCTCTATGTTTGGACAGAAATATATTAAACAGTTTTCCCTGACATGCTGGTTGCATGGGGGGATAGAAGATAAATTGACATGCAAACAAGCAAAAGAGCCAGAGTTAAAAATGCTGTGTGCAGTGGTATAATTAGGATGAACTTTGGTTCCTATCACTTGCATAGTCTTGGGCAGCAGATCTCTGATACTGACCTCCTGCCTCTTAATGACAGGATAATAATAACCATCTCAGAAAGATCCTTAGGTATATTGAGTGAGATGATCACAGCCCAAATGCTCAATGAAAAGTGCCAGAATGACAACAAATTTGGAAATAATAATAATAAGACAATCTTTTATTATGTGTTCTTTGAAATGGAGGTAAAATACATACAAAGAAATGCACAGATTTTATATACCTGTTTGGATGAGATTGACAAACACATACATGTGGTTGCACGACACCTAGATGAGTATATGGAACATTCATCTTGCCTTAGGCCCCTTCAAATTCGTGGCAAGCCCTTCACAGGCAAATGTTTACTGACTTACAGAAACTCATAACTTGCTTGTTTTTAATCCTTACATAATGAAATCATATAATAACATTCCCTTTTGTGTTAGGCCATTGTTCAATGTTTGAGATTCATTGTTTTTGTATGTTTCAGCAGTTCATTCTTTTTATTGTCAAATAACATTGCATCGTTTGAATCTCCCTATTTGTTCTTCCATTTGTCTGCTGATAGATGAGCATTTGGTGTTCTCAGTTGAGCAATTGCAAAGTAAGATATCACATAAATTCCAGTACAAGGCACAATAACATATACTTTTAATTATCCATGATAAATACCTAGGAGTGAAATTTTCTCCCAGTGTGTGGCTTGAGGTTTTTTTTTTCCATTTTTAAAATGATGGTGTATTCAGAAGAGTAGAAGGTTTGAAGTGTGATGATATCAAATATATCTAATTTCCCTTTTAAATTGAATATTATTGTGTCTAAGAAGTTTTGCCTTCTTCAAGGCTGCAAAAATGTTCTGTCTGTGTTGTCCTTCCCTAGAAGCTGCATAGGTTTAGCATCTATGTTAAAATTTATTGTTCAAATCGATTAATATTTGCATTCCATGCAAGGTATAGATCAAGGTTCCTTTCTTCCAAGATGTGCTTGTTTTTATTAATTATTAATAATGCTGCCATGGAAATTCATCTACAAATTTTTATGTGAATACTTTTCAGTTCTCTTGGGTATAATCATGGAAGTGGAATTTTTGGGTCATGTGGCAACATTGTTTAGAAGAAACTGACACACTATTTTCTACAATGACTCTACCAATTTATAGTCCCACCAGCAATGTATGAATGTTGCTTTTTCTCCACATCCTCATCAACACTTCTCATTGCATGTTTTTTAAGATTATAGTTGCTGTAAAAGGTGTGAAGTCGTATCATGTTTTGGTTTTGATTTGTACTTTCCTGAAGACTAATGATATCACACATCATTTTATTTCTCTTTTCTTTTCTTTCTCTCTTCTTCCTTCCTTCCTTTCTTTCTTCCTTCCTTTCTTTCTTTTTCCCTTTCTTTCTTTCTTTCTTTCTGTCTGTCTGTCTCTCTTTCTCTCTTCTTTTCTCTCTCTCCTTCTCTCTTTCCTTTCTTGAGACAGAGTCTCA